ACTTGCAATTTCTTTAAATCTGGATTCTTGAGTTTGTACCATTTGTTATCAATAAATAAATTTTCTAAAAAATACTGGATTATTATCTTTGAGATAATAAACAAATTCAATCTATTATGTTATATTCTAGCATAATTTTGCAGTTTTCTTGTGATGATCTACAACCATGAAGAACAAAACCAACTGTATCAATACAATCAAACGAAAACACAACATTACTTTACTATAGATAAAGTCACGTTCAGATGGCAGTGTACGGATATAGGATAACAGCGTTGCCAATTCTACTGCCATTGTAAGTTTTGCTACCTTTTGTAAAATAAGCAGGGCCAAACTCACGGTAAACTAAGATATGGTTAGGTAAGCTAAAGTTGTTAATAGAAAATTTCGTGAATGAAATAAATGGTAATAATTCCTAAAATGCTTTTATACATAATACCGCAGTTAATAGGGAAAAAAATATGAAAAAATATTCTACAGGTTTTTTAATGTTCTAAACGGTAGATAAGGGATAACTGATGATAATTCCTTGAAGAATTACAGCCAATTTCAGATCTTAAAAAGTTTTTTAATTTTTTAGTTTGTAAATTAAAATACATAAACAAATGACTGAGATAATTGCAAAAAAACCCTAATTGAAGCCCCTAGAACACAAGGGTGTAAGTGCAGTTGCTTATCACTTAGCAACTGATATCTAACAACAGGCACGTACTTTTGGCTTCAAACTTTCTACATTAACAACAATAACACCATCAAAAATTACATGTCATTGAAAACATGCTGAAAACTGAAAAAGTGTCTACCTAGGTTTTTAAATTTATATCGGACTCTGAACAAAGATTTTAAAAACTTTGTTTTTGGCACTTATACCCTTGTGTTCTAGGGGCCTCAATTGTGCACTAATTTATTAAATGTTCATAACTTTATTTTTTTGCATAATGACGTCTAATATAACTACTTGAAATTATGTCTATTAATGAGTTATTTAAGTGTGCTACATTTCAACCAGATCAACTAAATATTTTATTACCTTTACTGAGAAAAGAATACCCCCGAAAAACAATTTTCAATTATCTTCATTTCATAATCTAGTTTATCTTCAGAGTCATCGTTTAATGAAATTCTAATAGGTTCAATGTCATCTTGAATGTTGTCTACTGTCCAAAAATTATTCTCCAATTTTATAACATGGTTGATGTAATTTTTCCAATATCCATGTTCTGTACTTTATCATAACCTTCATAATCAATGTTTTAACGTCGTTTTGTTTGAAACTTGAATTCTTAGAGGACACGTACCGTTTCACTTCAGTCCACACCATTTCTATTGGGTTCAGTTCACAGTGATAAGGCGGAAGTCTTAAGATATGTACATCTACGCGGCAATACAATCAATTTTGTATTTGTCATAAATATTTTTAAATACATTAGCAGTTTCCAGAAGTTCATTTTTTAAGTAATCTTCTTCAAAATAAATGTCCTTTTCATAGAGCCACTCCTTAATTTGACGTTTCACCCAATATTGTTTGGGAAAATTTAATTTCCTAGAGTGATAAGATGCATTGTCCAAGATAATGATATTCTTTTTATTTTTTGGGAGATTCGGTATTAACATCTCTTCAAACCATTTTTCAAATAGATCACCGTCCATCTCTTCATGGTAATCTTCAGCACCTTTTTTGGCAAGAAAAAGTGATGTCAGCACCTTCAACAAATCCGTCTTTGTTTCCTGTATGGACTAAAACAAATCTTGGTCCTTTTCCGGTCGGAGTTTTTAAACCTGTGGTAAGTCCATTTACGAAAGCCTATCGGCTATTTTTTGTTGTTGTATCTTGCCATACTTGCCCCATTGGTTATTCCGGTATTAACCCATGATTCGTCCATATAAATGATATTGGCTCCTTCGTTCCTCAGTTTCTTTATTTCCCGGAGATAGTGACGCCTCCAAGCGACTATTTCTTGTTTTTCTATTAATATTGAATTTCTACCTTGTTTGCCATATATAAAACCCATGTCGTGCAATAGTCTTCTCAACGTACTCTTGGAAAAATTCGGAAGATGCTCCATTTGCTTAATTTTTTCTAGTACTACGTCAAGGGTTGGAGGAATATTGTCCATTAAAAAACCGTGCACTACTTGTCTTATTCTAGACCGAGTTGCTTCATCATATCTATTCTCACGACTATTCAAATAACGGTTCTTTTTTTTCTTATAGGAGTTACGAGTGGACCATTTTTACTTTCACTTCTATATCGGAATATCGTTCGCTCAGAGACTCCAGTCACAGCAGAAAACTTCCCGCACTATTGTTGATACACTTTTATCATTATTACTGTTTGATAAATAGTTAAAAACATTTAACACTATTTTTTTGCATTCACTATTTAACAAATTACCGTTTTTAAATTTTATTACACTCGCGGCCATTTTGACACTGACACGACACAAACGTCTGATATCAACTGAAAATTATTTTAATGACTCTCAAGTATTGACCTGGATTTATAATTGCTGGCAGTAGACAATAATTTTGAATTTATAAATAGGTATATTTTTTTAATTCTAAATTATTTTTTAATGTCTGTAACTGTAAATGCAGGTAGAGAAAGTGTGTCATTAAAAGGACATTAAGATCAAAAACGGATTATACAAATAATTATTTCATTTCCACGAATTGTAAACAATTTTGAACAGAAGATATAATTGCGAAAAGACCAGATTTCCGAAATATAACTTTCTGTTTTTAAAATACCAACAGAAAAATTATATAATTAAAAAAATGTAGTATTTTTCCGTTTCACATTCATAAATATTTCCGAAATTATAATTCTTTTATAGGAGCCGGCCCATAACGTACGATTGTAGGTACGATTAAAAACTGACAACAATGTAGTTATTTCTGGCATATAGAAAGTACAGGCCTATCTCTGTAACGCTGCCATCTGAATGTGAATTTATCTATAATGTTCTTTTATTGTTATGAAAACAAAATGAAAATGCTTCTTAACAAGTGTACACTGAATTTAATAGATAGTTGCCGTTTTTCTTATGATAATTAGATATAAATAGCATACATTTATAAATTAATAAACACTTTAAACAATATTTAGTATAAATATAATCTAGAAAAATATCACATTAAATAATATCCGCATATCACCAAGTCCAAGTTATTACAAACAACTTAAAGAGTCAGAAATCGATTTATATAAAAGGAAAATAATATTCTGTGCATAATATATATTAAATAAAAATTTAATAATTTTATTAGTCTTCCAAAATATCGCCTTCATTTATTGTATATCTTGGTTAAGTTCATGAACAACTACACCATTTTGAATTTCTTGATTCAATTTTTGAACAAAAACTAAATATATTTCAGGTATTTGAGCAAGAAAGATTGGTTTTTGGTCAGTAGCCCAATGTATAAACCCATTTTTGAATAATTTCACTTAAAATATAACTCTGGTAAGACATTCATAATATAGATAATAAATCAATCATCCTATAAATAGTAAGATAAACAATATATAGTTATGCTATGTCATATTTGCTGCAATAAATCGGCTTATATGTAAAGTAATTTTTTTTTCCTTTTCTTCCCTTTCTATGTTCTTATATTTGTTGAACCAAAATACTTGACAATATTCCAGTAGAGTATATAATAAAAAAAAATTGCTTTATGAGATCATTACTTAGTATACTCATCATCATACATACCAAGTATAATATCTTTAAATGAGAACAGTAAAATGTAAGTACATAATACTTAAAATGAAAATATTTGTACACTGATATGTATTCAAAAACATCTAACAGAAATGCTGTTGTACTAATTATAGGAAAAATATTTTGATCAAACAAGAATCGTACTATTACAATCATTTTTCATGTAGCTCATAAATTGTAATTACAAAAACTATTTAGTAGTAACACTGCTAGCACATAGCTGTATACCTGATTAGAAAAATGAAACCTATAAAATGATTTAGATAATTTTACTATATAAATGTGGCTAACCCATATTTACATACCCATATTTGTACTGGCTTTAAAGTGATTTGCTTCAAGAATTTATATAATAATGAACATATTTTGGAAGATCTTTCCATTCTTGAAAAAGAAGTTGTGTACTATCTGTTGTACAGATGTTTTAACTCTTTCATCTTATGTTGCAAGAATAGAAGGTCGACCGTCAATATTTTTAGGACATTTTACTGTTCCAGTCTGCTTATATTCTTTAATTGTTCGGTAAATAGTTGAATTCGAAATACCTAAAATTAGCACATTACTTTAGTAAGTCTTGATTTTAATAATAATAATTTCATTCCAGAATTACCAATTTTCATTTTTTTTATACATGTTTATAATACATTGCTTTTTATTTGATGATAAATGACGCAAATCTACTCGGCGTTTTTAAAGTGGCGAAGAATAATTACCACTAGTACTTGGCATTTAATCCATATTGTTATCTTAATAACACTAAATATTTCTGAAAAGAACTGTTTTTTTATATAAATGCAAACGAAAAATCTATGAATGTAAGAAATAACGCGGAAAATACAAAAAATCGTCGATATATGTTTTGAATTTTAAAATTTCACAAATGTCGTTAGTGTCAATATGTCATAATTTAGTGGAGTAAACTTACATGTGGTTGGAATAATTACAAACAAGCATTACGGCGCGTAAAATTTAAATTACTTCTCCTGGTTAAAAAGCAGACCATAGTTGCTATAAACAAACATCTAATTTTATGTACAACTCTTCCCCGCCAATAACCTTTCCATGGCTGACGCGGTTTACTTAATAATTTTTATAGCATTTAACAAAATAGTAGTCACAATAAACAATTGAAAGAGTCCATTTATAGGGCAATTTACTTTCATAGGTAAGCTGTACAATAGAGTAAAATATTGGCTGTCGAGTATCTACCGATACTCCCTAAACAAAGAATATACTTACTTTACAATGGAGGTCGAGAAAAACAATAAGACTACTGTAACGGACTATATTGATTTAAAAAATTCATTAAACAAACAAGAAACGCAATAAAATGCATTTATGCAAAATGATTTCTAATCACACTTAAAGAATTAGAAGTACACAAATTATGAACTTCACTTTCCACCGATTGTGTAAGGTTAACCTCGCAAAGAGCATATCTTTCCGTATCTATGATTTCCACATTCCATTTAAGACCGTCTCTATTTCCATAGATAAGTTCTACACCATATGGATACAGCAATTCTTGACCAAGGTTTAGTGGTTCTAGCCAGTTAATAAAATCAACTGGATGTCCTGTTCTCATCCATATGAAGTCGCCCGTATCCATTCTAATTCCTGATGACCAAAACCGATAGTTGCCGCCCCATTTGCCAACTGGAAATAGCAAACATAAATATTAATTTAAGACTACATAATCTTTTAAGTAAATAAAGGTATTAAAAAATTAATATATATATATATATATATATATATATATATATAATGAACCAGAAGTATTTGCTGACCACGTAAGGAAGTAAACTTTAAATATTGGGTATGCAGCAATAAACATGAAAGGTGTACTCTTTTAAATTTTTATTCCAAGCTTTCGAACATTGGTTATGTCCTTTATCAGGGAGCTACAAATGTGATGAATAATTTTTACAAATTTGTATAATTAATTAAAAATTCGATACTTACAAACTTAATAAGGTTGTATCATAAATGATTTTATAAAAAATGTTGATAAAATTTATCACAGTCTGTCATATCTGTTGAGCTAAAACCGATTACTATATTTAAAATTTTAAAAAATTACTTTACATTCACACAAACTTAATTATTATACACAAATCTATGACATTGATATTGACATTGACAAGTGAAAATCCCACATCCCTAATATCAAGTAACTGCTAGTACAACAAATTATAGGCCTATTATTAGGTATATCGTGGAAATATAAATTATTTTATATTTGTTAATATCATTAGGAAGTGAAACTTCAACCTGTTAATGTTTTAAAACAAAGCCTATTAAATTAACATAAATAAATAAGGTCATGATTCTAAAAACGTTACAATTTATTGTGATTTTGTTTTGTATGACCCCAGTATCTGTGTGTAAACAAAAATTATTAAATTTAAACAAACTAACTTTGTAAAAAAAATAAATTCCTTAAAAATGAACTTTTTAATTACTTAAATGTCAATTGATAAATTATTGTTTGTCTTGTTGCATTGAATCATAGAACAGATATTGGCCATCTAAATGAAATGTTCTCCTATTTGTTACTACTAGATAAATGCAACAATAAGACAAATATAATTTTTGTTTACACACAGATACTGGGGTCATACAAAACAAAATCACAATAAATTGTAACGTTTTTAGAATTATGACCTTATTTATTTATGTTAATTTAATAGGCTTTGTTTTAAAACATTAACAGGTTGAAGTTTCACTTCCTAATGATATTAACAAATATAAAATAATTTATATTTCCACGATATACCTAATAATAGGCCTATAATTTGTTGTACTAGCAGTTACTTGATATTAGGGATGTGGGATTTTCACTTGTCAATGTCAATATCAATGTCATATATTTGTGTATAATAATTAAGTTTGTGTGGATGTAAAGTAATTTTTTAAAATTTTAAATATAGGAATAGGTTTTAGCTCAACAGATATGACAGACTGTGATAAATTTTATCAACATTTTTTATAAAATCATTTATGATACAACCTCATTAGGTTTGTAAGTATCGAATTTTAAATTAATTATACAATTTGTAAAAATTATTCATCACATTTGTAGCTCCCTGCTGAAGGACATAACGAATGTCCGAAAGCTTGGAATAAAAATTTAAAAGAGTACACCTTTCATTTTTATTGCTGCATACCCAATATTATTTAAGTTTACTTCCTCATATAATATTATATATATTTATATATATATATATATATATATATTATATATATCTATATCTATATATATATATATATTTATATATATATTATATATGTATATGTATATATTATATCTATATCTATATATATAAGAGTAAGAAAAAAAAGAAGAAGTACTTGTGACTCGTTTGGAAAAAATAATAACACTGTTTTTGATGGGTTGGAGTCAATAAAAGGGGCTATTTTGTTGACTATTTTTTACTCGAGCTTTCAATTGTGATTACAATTTTTATCAAGTGCTTCTAAAAAATACAAAATGTCTTACAAAGTTGAACTAGAAATAAAAAAAATAAAAAAAAAAAATTTTTTTTTTTTCTAGTTCAACTTTGTAAGACATTTTGTATTTTTTAGAAGATCTTGATAAAAATTGTAATCACAATGAAAGCTCGAGTAAAAAATAGTCAACAAAATAGCCCTTTTATGACTCCAACCCATCAAAAACAGTGGTTTATATTTCCTATATATATATATATATATATATATATATATATATATATTTAATTGTCTATAAAAAATATATAAATTACTCCATCAGCAGTTTGGCTTAAGCATATATGAATTTTTAATGTTAGGATGTCAATAGAAAATGAGATCTTGACGGTATTTATGATATGTTAATATGTAACAATAAATGTTACTTAATTTGTCAATATCTGATCTTCTATTTACACATTTTTTATTTTTTTGTATATGTCATTTCTAAAAATAACCGTTTCTGTTCATCTTTCTGCCTCTCTAGAATTGAAGCCTGTGAAAAATTAAATGTGTGATTTAGATTGATGGAGTGTTCAGCTAATGCAACAAGCTTGTGATTTTCTTAGTTTTTACATCAATTTTATGAGAAATAATTCTGCTGTGTAATGTTTGAGAAGTTTCTCCTATATAAACTTTATCACAGTCTGAGCAAGGTATTTGATACACTACTCTAGAAAATACGATTAGAAAACATAAAAATTGCCACCAGAAATGTTAAAACCATAGCACATTTATACACTAAAACCATAGATCCTTTAACAACTGATGAAAGTTCTAGAGTAGTGTAGACCTTGAGATAAACATTGAGATAACTTTTCTCTGGGTATAAGAGATTTTTACCAGCTGAACTGCAATAGATGAAAATATCCTGCAAGTAAATATGACCCTACACCATAAAAAAACAACAATCCTAGCAATCTATGCCCCCTCAGAGCATGCGAATGTAACCACAAAAGACGAATTCTTTGCAAAATTAAACGAAGTTATTACTAGAGTTGGAAATAACCGAGAAATATTTTATTAGGCGTTTTAATGAAAAAATAGGAAACAAGCACCACAACAATGTAATTTGACCTTATGGAAAAGACGTCGTAAATGATAACGGAGAAAGACTTATAATGAAAGTAATAGACTCAAAATAACTAACGCATATTACTGTCACAAAAACATACACAAACATACATGGTTTCAACCAACAAGGAATTTTAAGTCTATAGTCTAGATTACGTGATAGTTAAAACAAAATTCACAAATACTCATTAGAGATATTAGAGCTATTAGAGGAGCAGTATGCGGATCAGATCCCCACATGGTCAGGGCAAAAATTGTTTTCTCATATAGATTAAAGGACAGTGTCTCATCAAGCCAAGACGAACAACTTTTAGAAAGAATTGATCTTCCTCAATACAATTTGTCCAGTTTCATTCATGAGAGCACCCGTACACGATATAAGACTTGAATGGACTCCAAACTTGACGAACCACTAACAAATACCAAATGCATACAGGGTGGTGAATCGTCAAACGGGCCATATGAAACTTAATGGAAAATTCTAAATTGTTGAATTCCTGCTTCCCTAATTCAACTGTTAAAATTGTTCTACGATTTAAACGTATTCCAAAATGTTGCTAAAATACAATACAATTTTCAGGCCACCCCTTAAAGTCAGCCAGACGCCGTGAAAAAATGTGTATTACGTGTTGCGTTTTTTCATATTGATGTTTCTGATATTTTGACAATATTTAAAACAACTATATTATATTTATCTCTAATTGGCAAAAATTTTTATTTTGTGATTTATTGTTTAAAAAAAATTAAGTTGATTAAAAAATGTACTCAGTTGAGGAGAAAGGAGCAATAATAAAAATGTTTTATTCATGTTTTATTTTAACATTTGTTATAGTTTTATGTTTAGAAATTATCATATGTTAATATTAGGAATAAAGATCACAGTAACAGTATATTGGAATTCATTAAATTGTTGTATAACTTAACATGGAATTAAATTTTAGTATATTAGAATATTTTACGTTAAATAAAGATCCGGTAATTGCAGGAAAAGATTCGCGCTATTGCCTGAATACAACATTATGCGATTTTTCGTCAACTGGGTACATTTCATTATATTTATCGATTTGTAAACAATTTAATTAATTGTTCACAAAGTAATATTTGTTGTTCAGTAGTAGTAGTATTTAGTAAAATTCATTGTTTTTAATTATAAAATAAAAAAATTGTCAAAATTCAAATTGTCAAAAATCTGACATCAATATGATAAAACACACACGTCATAATATATATTCTTGCTTTACGCGTGGCCTAACTTTAAGGGATGGCCTGAAAAATGTATTATACTTTTTCAAAATTTTGAAGTACATTTGATTGGTAGAACGGTTTTAACATTTGTTTTTAATTCAGATTTTAGTCCTCTATAAATATTTTCTTATGACTTTTGATCTAAAATAATTAGGGAAGCAGCAATTCAACAATTTAAAATTTCCCATTGAGTTTTATATGGCCCGTTTGACGATTCACCACCCGGTATATAAGAACATAATATCAAGTATTCATCAAACAGCACAGGAGGTCTTAGGAATTACACAAAATAAAATTGTAACAAGCTTTGTAGTGGAATGGAGACGTCGAAAATGCAGGTAACAGAAAAGAAAAGATTATACCATAAGTGTTGAATAAAAAAGATGACGCAGACAAAGACCGATACAATGAAATAAAGAAGAAAACTAGAAAGATAATTATGGCCTCCAAAAATGAGACATGGGACAGAAGGTGCAGAGAGATAGAATCTTATAATTGGAGGACGACAATGCACTGAGGCGTGGAAATTTATAAACTCTGTTAAGAAGCCGACTAACGAGAAAGTGATTCTTAATCCCATAAATCCCGAGGATTGGATACATTATTACAAACATCTATTAAATGAGAACAGAGACGAATTTAAAGAAGATATGAATTCATCAAGAATCGAAATTCTGGGAGAGCATATTACCATAGATATCAACATAGTTCAAAAAGCTATAGCAGGGATGAAGAATGGGAAAGCAAGTAGACGAGAGAGAGTATGAATGATCAGAATGATCACGGTGACGAATATATTAATGCACATCCCACAACAGATCAATGGAAAACAGCATATTTGACCCCAATAT